AGAGGGGCAGGATCACCTCCCTCCACCTGCTGGCAACACTCTGCCTAATGCACCCCAGGAGACCATTGGCCTTCTTGGCCACAAGGGCACACTGCTGCCTCATGGTCACCTTGTTGTCCACCAGGACTCCCAGATCCTTCTCTGCAGAGTTGCTTTCCAGCAGGTTAACCCTCAGCCTGTCCTGCTGCATGGGGTTATTCTTTCCCAGGTGCAGGACCCATGTGCAGCTGTTCCATCACCTTTCCAGGGATGGAGGTGAGGCTGACAGGCCTGTAGTTTCCCGAGTCCTCCTTCTTGCCCTCTTTGAAGACTGGAGTGGTATTGACTTTCTTCCAGTCCTCAGACACCTCTCCTGTTCTCCAGGACCTTTCCAAGATGATGGAGAGTGGCCTAGCAATAACATCCGCCAGCTCCCTCAGCACTCGTGGGTGCATCCCATCAGGGCCCATGGATTTGTGGATGTCAAGTTTGGACAAATGATCTCTAACCCAATCCTCCTTCACCAAGGGAGAGTCTTCCTTTCTCCAGGCTTTCTATCTTATCTCCAGGGTCTGGAATTCCTGAGGACTGGCCTTAGCAGTAAAGACTGTTAAGAAGCAGCAAAGAAGGCGTTCAGCAACTCTGCCTTCTCTGTATCCTTCGTCACTAGGGCGCCCACCCCATTCAGCAGCGGGCCCACGTTTTCCCTAGTCTTCCTTTTGCTATTGATGTATTTGAAGAAGCCCTTCTTGTTGGCCTTGACATCTCTGGCCAGATTTAATTCCAAATGGGCCTTAGCCTTCCTTGTCGCATCCCTGCATACCCTGACAATATCCCTATATTCCTCCCAAGTGCCCTGTCCCCTTTTCCACATTCTGTAGACTTCCTTCTTCTGCTGGAGTTTTGTCAGGAGTTCCTTGCTCATCCATGCGGGTCTCCTGCCCGCTTTGTTGGGCTTCTTACTCAGAGGGATGCACCGATCTTGAGTCTGGAGGAAGTGATACTTGAATATTAACCAGACAGACAATTGCACATCTCTGTCTGAAAAGCAAGAAGGTGCTTAAAGCGTACGGATGGTGAGATTTGGTGGTTTGTTGGTTCTAGAGAAGATCTGACTGTTAGAGAAAGGTATGAGTGTCTGAATAGTCTGGCATAGCTGAGAATTCATGTGAAGCTCAGAGAGAGGTGACTAAGCTCGGTGCTAGAGGTGAGGACGGTGCCATCAAACACAGCACTGGTCGGGACCTTGAGTCAGTGTTGCTTTAGCAACAGGCCTGGAATTGCTGGGTGGCCTCATGCTTCCCAACAGTGAACTAGTTGCTATGTGGGAACATGCTATTTAAAAGAACAAGAATGATCTCTTGCATAAACCTCATATGATCTGCTAGATCCCATTGATGGAAAACAAACTACCACAGAAGTCTAGTAGTCTAGCTACTGGAGTGAGTACTAAGTCAAAATGAGATAACATATCGGACAGTAGCTATAGGCCAAAAATAACATTACTAAAATGTTATAACACACAAACCAGATCTTATCTTGCTAATCCATTTCAAGGAGTTAATTATAAACGGGTTAACTAGTAGGGTCCTGAGAAGTACCAAGTCTTAACAGTCTTGTTTGTTAGCTGATTTGGACGAAGTTTATTTTTCCCACACTTTCTACTAAAAGAATCTGGAGCAAGACAAATGAAACGTTTTTAATGTTGCAATACATGAGGAAAAACTGTGAGGGTTGGTGAGCGCTGGAACGGGTTGCCAAGAGAGGTTGCGGAGTCTCCGTGAAGATATTCAAAAGCCACCTGGACACAATCCTGGGCAACGTGCTCTAGATGACCCTGTTTGAGCAGGAGACTAGAGGACTAGGTGATCTCCAGAGGTCCTTCCATCCTCAACCGTTCTGTGATTCTGTGAATACACGTGTGCCACATCTTGGCTTAGAACAAACTAACAGTGGCTGGACTGTTTACCTTAACGCAGTTGAAAGTTAGAATGTGATACTACTGCTTATATGAAGCTAGAATAATGTTGCTATGCAGGAGTGCAGTCAGACTCTAGCAATCAGACTCTAGTTATGGAATGCTGTTTCTAATTATATGTTTCTTTGGTGAGCAGGTATTTAGCTCCATAGGTGTTCATAATAAAAATCAACAAATACTGTTTGAAGACAGAGAGATGAATTTTAACTGCTTGTACTGTTGTGAATAGAACTCTTACTCTCCCCTCAAAAGAAGATTGCTTGGAGCCTTTTCAACCTGACTCTCCACTTGAACAGAAAAACCATAAATAGATTATTTTAAAAGTACTTGAGATCTGCCATTTCCAAATTTATCTGCTGTTACTCTATAGTCCTGCTGGAATCAACTGAAGTGATGCTTTCACCCTACAGACTGCTCTCCAGTTCGATAGGCTTAGGAAGACCAGTGCTCAAGCAAATTATTTACACAAGTCGGGCACTTTTTTTGTTTATTTGTTACCACAGTCTCTCCATGCCATGCCTGTCTGTGGAGATAAGACAGTCCTGTAGCTTCACAGGGACATAGTGATGCATTAATATTTAATAACTATTTAAATATTAAGAAATATTCAAGAACGATTGCTTTAGTTGTAAATGCCATGGGAAACCGGAGGTGGGAACAAGCAGTTCTCCTGAAGAGATTCCTTGTGTTCTGCTCTGAGCAGATGTTGTCTAAAATACCAAAACTGGGTGCAAACCCTCACAGAGCTCCAGGAAGGATTCTGAGGAGTCCATCCATGCCATGACGACAGAGGAGTCTGGTGTTGACTGCTTTTTCCAAAACAGGTCCTCGTCCGAGGTTTCAGAGAGCTGGTGTTTGCCTTTCATCGTTTTGTAAGCCTCACATCTTGGAGGCTCAGAGGAGCTGTGTGCTACAGCTGTAGCTCCAATGCCCAGTTCCAGGGAGTCTCTCGTTCTTTAGCACTTAGTGCTAAATTGCTTGGGAGGCATCTCTTCATGAGTCCCAGCAAATATAAACCCAGCTCCCTGACAGTGTTTTATCCTGGGTACTCAGACACCTGCTCTGCTACCAGTGTTCAGTGCACCTCATTTCGTGCTACCCCATGCACTGTCACTTTGTGGCTCCCTGCCCTACTGGACTCCCATCGGGTTCAATTTCTGCCAAATCGTCACAGTCTCTCATCACAATCGGCACAGCTACCTACTAGTTTTCCCCAAATCCCTTTCTTTGCTAAGCACCTCTGTGTGTGATCTGATGAAAGCCCTGTTTGTAACCTGCACAAAGCTAAGTCTGTCTGACAGTGCCCCCCCTCTTTGCCAGACACCTGGGAGGTCCAAATGCTAGGCCACGTCAACTCTGCAGTTGCATGTTTGGATCTCAGACTGCTGTGTCGCAGCTGGGTGTCTGCTCAGCAGTCCCCTCCAGTTCCAGCCATGCCACCACAGTGGGAGTCATGCCTCTACAGAAGCTCGTAGATAAATAGTGTTTTGCAAAGCAGTCCCTCAGGTGTTGCTCCTTTCTGTGCAGTCTAGGACCTTCTTTGGGGCCTTCATAATGGACCGGACCAAAAAAAAAAATCTTAATTCAAGAATTTCCTAACTTTGGAGTACTTAACTTTCCTTCAAGACATTTTAAAAATGTTCTGCATGCAATAACTTATTAATCATGCACCGTTTCAGCTGGTCAAGGTAAGTCGTTCAGTAAACTCAGATGATTTAGTGCTAACAATTCAGAACTTAAACCTGCAAACTCCTGAACCCTTGCTCAGAGTAATTCAAAAATGGTGGCAGAGAGGGTGTCAGCCTACCGTGTCTGTGACTTGAAATATGTGGTCTGGTGCCATTAAAATTAATAGAGCAATTCACATTCTTGAAGTTACTTTTGTGACGAAGTGTCAGCAATTTACAAGGTACTAGAGACAGTAAAGAGAATTGGAAAGCAGATGCAAGATATGAAAACAACCCTGAAATGGCTTGGTTCAGGTTGCCAGAATTTATTTGTTGCTTCTTTATTGCCAGTTTCCACAGGGGCGAGCTGGCTTTTCAACCACGTGTTAGTTTTGCAGAAGCGTGAAAGAGCAAGAGACCATCCAAAGAGAGGCAGGAGAGAAATAGTTGTTCTTTTATTACAGCACTATCCAGAGGCCTGATGCAGGGTTGGGGTGGCAATGTGCTAGCCTTCTACAGTGCGTAGCAAACAGCCTGTGCCCCAAAGGGCTTATAGGGTAATTTAAAAAGAAATGTTATAAATATACATATCTAAAGCGAATGAGGGAAGGTGTGTACCTCAGGGGGAGACCAGGGGGTTGCACAGATGAGCTGTGTGCATAGCTTGATAGCTCCGAAGCCTTTCTTTTTAATAATTATGAATAGAAATTAGTGTCCTGCACATCAGTGACAGCTCATTTGCAATTTAAGATTAAATTATTTGGGGCAGAGGAACAGTGAGCAAATTGAAGAAGCCAGAACTGCAGTAAGGTGGTGGGGCCAAGCAGGAGATTGTGACAGAGTAGGATGTGTGCCAGAAACAGGAATAAAACCTTACACTGAATTTTCATGTATTTATCAGAATACGATTACCTTGCTCTAGGGTCATTGGCCTATAAAGGAAAATCGGGATAGAATAGTGTTTGTTATAAGCCAGAAACAAATTCTTGTGTTTTTCTGTCTAGAAAGGCTTTTTCTGAATTTATCCCTCCTTTTTTTTCCAACATAAGGCTCTGTCATGATCTGCCTTAAAACCAAGGGACAAGTAATATTGTCTAGGAGCTTTTGTGGCTTAGAGTTCACAACTGAGCCAGAATTCTCCTTCAGCAACTTGGGGCTGTGTTTTTGCTGGGGACACTGTAAACGGGAAGGTTTTTTTGGCTCAAAAATACAGAGATACATCTTTAGGCGAGTGGCACAATTCGCAGTTCATGTCAGTTTGTCTCAAACAGTAGAAACTCAGAAATCTTTGCCCTCCTTTCTCATCACAGACAACAGGCACACAGGCATTTGGTCCCCTCTATTCAGTATGACAAGAAACAGGTGGATGAGGCTGGGGAAAGGCTAAGGTAAACTGAATATAAAGGGGACAGGTCATGCTGGTAAGCTGTACTACCTTGGAAGATACTGCACTGGAGTAAAGCTATCTTCAGTTCAGTGAACCAGTGCATAGTATGCTGCAGAGGGCTATTTTTAATCAACAGAGAGACACATAAGGGACTTCACGGAGAAAAAGTGTTACGAAAACACCCAGCCTAGTACTGACCACCTAGCTAGGTCCAAAGAAAATAAGGCTGCTGTGCAGAGATCCTGCCTGGGTGCAAACAGAGCATAGCTCTGCTTGTAGGCTGGTCTTCTGGGGGTTATTCGCCTGGTTCCTTCCCGTTATGGAGGTAACATGGGATTCTGCCAGTTGGAGCACTTGTGCTGTATAAGTTGTACGGACACGTGTGAAATGATTTTCTGCTTCCATGCTCTGATTACAGACCATCTTGTGATTCTCATTTGTTAGCTCTTTCTGTACTCGGGAAACAATAAGCAGATAAACAATAGGATAGAGTAAATTGATTACTAAGCTTCCTAGCTGTTCATCAAATTTAGGTTTGAAAGACTGTCACTCAGTGGGTTCTTATTTATTCTCGAAACATAATCCTCAGCGCCTACTGCTGTTTGGAAATCAGTGCCTGGCCAGTACCAGAGCACGGAGCAGGTGTCTGAACCCAGAACTTTAAGTACTATACTACAAGAAAAAAGCACCAGTAATAAAGTTCTGGGTTGGGTTGTCTGACCCTTTCTTTAATGTGTTTGTGATGAATTATTTTCCGCTAATATTTCTTCCCCCTGTGGGTTTCAGATGGTGGGCAGGAGAATGGCAAAAATGCTCAACTACATGTGGCCCAACAGGACAGAAGAAGCGAACCGTACTTTGCATCCAAACGGTGGGATCTGATGAGCAGGCGTTGGCTGTCACAGAATGCCAGCATCTGCTTAAGCCGAAGACCCATCTTTCATGCAATAGGGATGTCTTGTGCCCTTCTGACTGGACAGTGAGCAACTGGACAGAGGTAAATTCAGGTCAGCTGTAGAATTAAGTATTTTTTTCAGAATGGTCCATTATAGTCAATCAAAAGGACCGATGACCTGCATTTTTTCCCCCATTCTCTTTTTTCTTTAACGTGTGTTCCTGAGCCCTTTGTGCAGAGGGAAAAAAAACACACTGCATGTTAAATACCTCAACATGTGTTGATTGTTAAAAGTTCCTGAGTTTCTAAGTTTGGGTTGCTGGGCTTTTTGTACTGTAGAAGAGAGCCTGTTTGCACGCTCAAAACTTCCATGCAATTCTCGGACATTATTACTGCTGTCAACTGGATGGGAGAGGCTGTGTATTGTGTATATAGGCATGCAAAGAAACATTTTTACATTCACATTTTTTACATTCATATCTCTTTTTCATTCATATCTCTGCTGGTTTTACAGTAGCGTGCAAGCTCTTTACTTCTAGTATTGGTCTGAACCCCTAACAAACATTGGGATATCTATGCCTCCTGAAAGTGTTAAATAAATATTATGCAGTTATTTCCCTGGCAGCTGATAAACCGCAGAATGTAAGGCCATCAAAATGGTGACTGCAGTATACTAAATGTGTTTAAATAGAGTGCAACATATTCTGCTGTGTATGGTAGTGCTAATAGGGAGTACTCATCTGATGTGCTTTGATGTGGCAGGACCTCATACTACTTAGCTTTCTTTAGATTATGGGCCTGATATCAGCAGATGCTTCACAACTTTGCTTTCCATTGAGGCCAAAGAGAGTTCAGGTTCCCCACACTTTAAACAGCCCACTTCTCCATGAAATCTAAAGATGCGCTAAAATATTTGTTCTTTTAGGGGAGAGAAAGAGGTCTCACGTGATGTGCAATTTTAAAACTATTTTATTATGATTTTGCCAAAGTAGGGCTTGCTCACGGTTCAGCTCACAAACAGGTAGTTTTGTTATATATCTTGAGAGAAGAAAAATGTAATTCTAATAATCATGACAGCACATGCACAACAAAGTCCATCTTCATTTCCATTTTCAGGTGCCATCCTGAGTGGAAATGAAGTTTACTGAGTTTTTCAAAACTTACAAAACTTTCCTTTTTCATGCCTCTTCTCTCTTCTCTCTCAGAATTTCTGCACTCGATTATTCACTAATGGGCTTAGCCAGTTTGATAACGAGCTAATTGAATTTTGTGACAGTTTTAATTCAGCTTATGCTGCTCACAAGCCATCATCACTGAATGTTCATTGTTTTGTAAATTGGGAAGCCAGCATGTTTTAACTGCCTGTGAAAAAGTAGCCCATGAGTTCGTGGCCAGCAGAATAATTATACAGAAGTGGCATGCTGATACTAAGTAGAGCAAGTGCTTGTGTGTTGATGAGTTATATTTGCGTATTGCTGGCAAAAATAAATTTCCACCAGAAATTTCCGCAGAAATTGGGGAAGGAGCATAAGGTAGACTACTTCTCCTGCACAAATGACAGTGTTGTCAATAGACTTGTGTCTGCAGAACAGTCTTTGCTGGTGAAGGTGAAAGATTTTTTACAGGCAAACTTCCCTCTGCTCTGAACTTACCTGGCCCTTAGAAAATCATCCTGTATCTTGTGAAATGAACGTACTGAATTAGGCAGATAACGAGGATGCAGTAGTATAGCCATTTATAGCCAAATTTAGTAAGAATCTGTGAGCTGCACAAAGCATCTCAGCAGGTTTGGGGCATCGTGAGTAGCTAGAACAGAGCCAGTCAGATATGTTTTTGATGGCAGCTTTTTAGTCTGTTTTTTATTACTCTAATGGGAGAGGTACTGGCTGAACAACTTCTGGGATTGTGTCATTGCAGAAATCAAATTCTAGCATATTCTTCCATGTTTTGTCTTTCTCGTGCAGTCTTTTATCAGTGCTGTATATTCAATGAGACATTTACTCGTCTAAAAGCCCCATGCTAGCAGAAAACGACAAAAAAAATAAAGGCCTAGTCCTCAGGAAAAGTTTTGTTATTGATGGTTTATAAGGATGCTTTTGTTATTGTATCTGTAAACAGATACCATGTGATACTTATTAATATGCAGGGCAGAACGAAGAGGGGAGATGTATTAATTTTGTTTCTCTTGCAGTGCACAGTTACTTGTGGTGGTGGAATAAGGACTCGTAATGTCACTTGTGCCAAAAATAATGATGAGCCATGTGATAGTTCCAAGAAACCAAACTCTAAGGCCCTGTGTGGTCTGCAGCAATGTCCTTCTGCTGGAAGGTTTCTGACACCACCGCTGGCACCCAGAAGAGGAAAGATCGTAATCAGAAAAACAGCCGTTAATCCCAAACGGGCTTCTCCTAGCAGAATACCTATACCCATACCAAGCCCGAGGTTCCGTACAACTACAAAAATACCCAAGTCTGAAAACGTAACTCCCTTTTTGCCTACGTCCTCTGGTGTGGGTAATGTTTTAGAAGAAGAAGGAGCAGCCAACAAAACATTACATAACAATTCTGCTGGATCAAGTAATGTTTACAATTATTCTGGTGCTTTTACTGAAACTAGTTCACAACAAAATACTGCTTCGTGGCCTTTTCCTAATAGCTCAAGTACTGAACATACAAGGCGTGCTGAGAGTGTTTCTGAGAGTGAGCCAGTTTTCACTGTAAAGAGTGAAGCAACAAAAAGTGAGGACAGTCGTGTATCCTCATTTACCAAAAGTCCGGAAGTAACTCCCAGCTATGATTACTTAACTGAAGAATCTGATGACATCGATGTGTCAGTAGGAAGCAGTGAGAAACCGACTGAGCTCCTTTACAGCACCGAACTTGATCTTGAAATCAGAACCAGGAGCATGATGCTAAATACCAGGTCTCATGTCCTTGAGCGTGACGGTGTGACTTCTCGGCTCTCCCCAGCCCCTCATCACCAAGAAACTTCTACGCTCCTTCCTGTTAGCGAAACACCACAAGGACTGGCATTTCCAACAACAGCAAACTCTTTCAGTCTGCAAGTTGATGTGCCTGTCGTGGAAGTAATCACCCAAGAATCATCTGTTACAGTAATGCCCACAGTGTTTGGTAATCCACTGAGAGACCAGATTGACAATAGAGCAGAAATAAAGCGACCTGATGATGTAACTAACAGCACGCAATCTCCACCTCTCGAGCGTGCTCCCAGGAACCAGGCTGCAACATCTGAGGGGGTTCTGCCAAATGTCACAGAAAACGGCCACCTAATAACATCCAACAATTTGCATGCTAAGGCCTACTGGATAGTAGGGAACTGGAGTGAGGTAAGTTATTTTTAACTGGATAAAGCGCAGTAATACTTTGGTTACTTAAACGTATTTTTCATTTGGCTATTAACAGATTTTTGTGGTGCTTTTCTACCTCATACTACCACGAACGTTTGTATCCACCATTAAGCAAATTGCTCCTGTCTCAGAGCAGCATCCAACCTGGTAAAACCAGTTTGAATCTATAAAGTCAAGACAAGGATATTAGTCCAAAGTTTAACTGGTGCACTTGGCGAACTTAATTTGTCCAATATGTCTGTGGAGAGATATCGTAAGAGAAAGAGAGAGAGATGAGAGTTTTGTGCCACTGGAGGGTTTTAGGGGATCAGGTACTGGAACTGGATAGTAGTAGTAAACCAAAAGCATTTTACCTGGCTGGAATAGAAGTAAAAATTGTCAGGCCAATGGCTGTGGCTATGACAATATCTTTGGATACAGCAGCTGATAGTTACAGCGTTAAGATTACTTTCTTGCTATTTGAGAGTGAGCAGTTATCTTATCTGCACTAATGGTTGTGCCAAAATGAACATTTTTATCTCTCACATTAATGAAAGTGAATCAAAAGAGGTGTTACTATCCTGCGGTATTCTCTTATTTCTTATGAAAGCCCTGTCTTGTTTGAGTCTTCTGTGATTCATAAAAATGGCAAGAGATTGCATGAAACAAGTTACAGCTCACAGGGAATTTAGAAACTCTTTTGAAATGTGCTAAAGAGTGAACAAGCAGCGTTTGGAAGATACCTGGTCTGAAAAGTGATGATTTGTCCCAATTTCCCAGCTTGTCACACAACAGAGGCTTTGAAAAGAATGGCTTTGTTGAACATAACTGTTACCTTGCAAGACGCCGCATGCTAAACAGAGCAGGTGGAGAAGCGTGCTTCCCTGACCGGATATCTCCGTTCCCTGACCGTTACTGAATGATCATAATGCTTGGATAACTTCTGCTTTCTGTGCAGGAGCAGTACAGATTGCCAAATTTTCTATGGCCTCTGAAATATGGTTGCAGCATTTTGTATATTGCTATTGATTCTTCTTTTTTGATCCCCAGGAATCATGCTTTTTGACAAGTAGGTTTCTGTGTAGCCGTCTTGCTGCGTTCAGGGATGGTAATTACTCTGGGGTCAGAGCTGACTGGGGGCAGCCATCTCCTCCTAACAATGATAATAAGAGAATATAGTCAGCAAGAGCCTTTTTAAATTTTAGAAAGTTTTATTTAATGTCCTTCCAATTGTAAAAATCTATTTGTTTGAAATGCTGTCACATGCCCTGATACCACTGTTGACACTTATCCCCCAAAGGGAGAACACTATTTAACATAGGGCAAAAGCATGCAATTTGCCAATGGAATGGTTTAATTATATAGACCATCATGTTCCAGTGTCTGAGAACATTTTGGGGCACAGCTCAACTTACTAGTGTAGAAAAAGGAAAACATATCTTCCCAAGAGAGCTAATCTTCACTCCTGAGGGTTTGAAAACCAGGTATTATCGCTTTTCTGGTGCTCACATTTTTTTTTTCTTTAAACAGCTATATTGTTCTGTGATCGCTTCAACCTGACTTATTTTTAGCTTTCACGTTGACACCAGTGCCTCTCTCTGTTATTTCTAACTTCTTTCCTGTCACATTCCCAGGACGTTCTGGGCTGTCATTTTCCTTTTCTAAGAGCTTTCTGAGTACCGAAGATAACCCCATTACTACTGGATCTGTTCATTCTGTACTCCTGTTGCTGCTTATGAAAAGTCTCCTCCGCCTCCTTGGTCTGTAACAGACATCTGCTGAGACATGAGGAAGTTTTGGTTCCTGAATGACAAAAGGGAAAAGCAACAAACCAGACTCTTGGCTCTTCCTGAAACTCAGAGCAAGTATATGTCCTCCAGTGGTCTTCCTTTGCAGAACACGAAACCATGGTCAAGGAAGCCAAAACTTTCTACCAATATTTATTTACAGCATCATACATTTATCTCCTGGCTGTACCCACAAGCAGCAATTTTCTGAAAGACTCCTGCTGTGTCCCAGCGCTCTCATACTCACACAGCCTTATTTTCTTGTCTGGTCTGCTCGGCATCGTCCCTGGCAGTATCAGTGCTGTCCTTGTGAATAAGGAGGAAGTGGCTTTGCTCAAAAACTGAGCTGAGCATCAGCAACCCTTCAGTAGGGTCTTGGTCTGATAGAACAGAGCTGGTGGAAGTCTTTGAATTGTCAGCAACCCAGACAAAGACAATCCATCCTCTCTTGCAGGCAAGTTGTCCTGGATAGATCTGTGACTCTGCGGAACTGAACTGTGATACACCCTCCCCATTAACAAGATCTTTCTCTCCTCTTGGCCAGATGTCCCAGGAGCCTTGGAAACCTGGAGATGGCATGCTGCAGCGGTCCTTGCAGATTCCAGCTGTTCACAAGTTGCAATTTTTCACAAATTCTTTATTGTGACCCTTTACAATTTTTCCACTTCTCTGCTTGAATCTGGTGTCATGCCCGCTGTCTTCAGTGGTTTCTTTTCCTGCCCGAGCTTCAACTTATCTTTCCTTATCTTTCCGAGGACACTTGGCTTAACTCTCCCTGATTAACTCTCCCTCTTTGCATAGGGAGTCCAAACCGCACAGTAGCAATTACTCTCCATTATTTTGCTGGTTTAATCCTCGATTACTTATGCTGTTTCTCATGCCAGCTGCAGGCTGCTTGGAATGTGTTGGATTTCACACTTTGCAAATAGTACACTGTCCCCTTGAAAAGGGAGTCTCCAGCCACTGCTACTCTTCACATCTTCCTGCTTCAGAATATAATGACAATGACATTTTTGGTGAATAGTGTGCACTTCTGGGAACTGCACCGAGATAATCAATCTCCTCTCACGTTAGACGTTAAAAGCTTCCCAACTCTTGGAAGCACTTAGCTGTGCTCTGAATTCATCTTTTTTAAATTTTCTTTTTCTGCCCAATTTTGCCTAGAGTCTCGCACAGTGTATTTGAGGTTTTCAATATCATGCACTCCTTTCACTGATTATGTCATTAGCAGTATTAGGAATGGAGGAGGAAAACTGATGAAGGTTAGATGCACTGACATTTTGCCCTAACAAATGAAAATTAAAGCATCAAAGATCACCAAAGGAAGCAACAGGGCAGCTGATACAGACTTAGAATGTCTCAATAAATAGAAGTTTGCCAATGAAGAGCAGTGCGTGGTGTAAATCAGAACTGGTATTTTCCTAACTAAGCAACAAAAATTCTCCTTCATAATCTTAACTAAGACGATCAAGGGTAAATGTGAAATCTTCTTCGGAGAGTCTGCGCAAGCATCTTGGATAGCCTAGGACATCTAAAAAGGCTCTAGATATTTATGTTTAGGCGCCTAACTTGTTTCCGGAAAGACTGACTAAGATTTGCTACCGGGCTTTCGTCTCCCGCTGTGCAGTGTTCTACCACCTGTGGGCTGGGGGCGTTCTGGAGACATGTGGAGTGTAGCAGCAGGGATGCATCTGACTGCCAGCACACCAAGAAGCCTGATCCTGCAAGAAGATGTTATCTCCGCCCTTGCGCGAGCTGGAAAACAGGAAATTGGAGCAAGGTAATCTCATTCAGAGCTGTGCGTGAGCAGTAAGCTCAGTGGCTTCAAAGACTAGGGAGCTGTAAATACTTCATATTTAAAATAATTATTCATTCACTGCACTGAAAGCATACATAATTCCCAGTTGACCATTCAGCTCTAATTTACTAATTTCCTGGCTAAGTTATTTATGGAAATGCATCTGCTCTAAATTCCATTCTTCCTGTGAGGGGGTCATGCTCATTAAACCTTGCCCCTAGAGCTGAAGCAGAGCTCGCTGTCCGTGTTTTATGAAGATCCTAAGGCGAAACTGTACATATTTGCATGTGTATCTTCTTAACCTCTGCCTCTAGAGGCATATCCTAATTTTAATAAACAAGTGAGAATTTGTCTTGCAACTTACAAATTTCACTTTGCAGAAAGTGAAGAAAAATGTGGTGGGGAGAATGCCTACTGTTGCTAGGGTCTTTTTTTGTCCCAGTTACGTACGCAGGCCGGTCAAGAGAAGTAAGAGTGTCCAAGACGGTAAGTGTAACCTGAGGAATTGGATTTCAGTTCTTTTTTGGTACTGTAAGATGTAGGATGAACACCTGGAAGGACTTTGGTGAAACTTTTTGAATCTTGTTATGTTTTGTCTTCAGGCTATCCAGAATTGGGGCTTTTTTTCACTGGGCTATTTTTCAATACTCAGAAGGAAAAAAAAAATACAAAATTCCAATTGAAATAATGTAGATTTAATAAAGAGAAAGGAAGATCTCTGAAACTCTTTCTAAACATGTTGTTTTTTTGTGGACAGTGTTGTTGCCATTGGACTAGAGCATAGATTCATGCACAAAAGACTCTGCAGAAAAGGTTATAGTTACAAAACCCCCATTATGTTACTGAGCCCTTTGTCACAGAAAAGATTTGTACATGAAATACATGCCCATGTAGAAAGTCCAGGCAAGGCCAAGGCATCACATAACCACATTTAAGCTTTCAAAATTCATTTTAAATGGTGCATAGACGTTCTGCAGTCCCTTTGCACTGGGGTGCATTTCACCTTTACTTTTTCTTCATAAATGTTACCGCTCTTGCAACTAGTGAATGGTAGTTGTGTCGCAGAAAGTAACGAGATGTCAAATTTAATGATAAAATGCTATAGGAAGCGGGTATTTTAGAGTGTCAGTCCAATTTGGAGGCCAATTTGTGGCAAAAGTCCTTCTGTAACAGATTTCTCTTGTGTTAGCCGCCCTTGTTTTCCAGCAATTTAGCTATACAAACCTAATTACAATCACATATATAAAAATGGCTATTTTTTGTTGCTTTTTACAAGTGGCAATTGTTATTCTCATTGCTTGTTTCAAATGTTTGTCATGCACCTTTGTCACAGCAATATTGTTATAAGCCACTGCCAGCATAGTGAAGATTTCTTTCGATGTTCCTTTACTCTAGTCAAAATCTTCTCCTGCAAAGAAAGATTCTTCATTGCTTTTAGACTGGACCTTACAATCTGAGTTTAATGCCAAATATAATTTGCAGTCGTTTTGGGGTTATGTGTACTGTTTCTTGCACAGTCAATTCTGTCCGTTGTTTCTGAATATTGGGATAGAAACTTCTGTGTGCAAGAACACCGATTCCTCTTTTGTCCATCCTTCAGTGCCCAGAACAAGTAATGTATTCAGTTTCCTTGCTCAACTGAAGAATGATTATTTATGTAGAGGAGAGCAGGAGCAGTTGTTGTCCTGCAACATGACCATAAAGAGCAGAGTTGGTTGAGGTTAATCGGTGATGTAGGCAGAACTGGATTTAATTCTGGATGAAGACAAAATAATTAATTCAAAGTATGTTTATCCTTGTCCTTGGGTAGCAAATTCAGATCTTCAACAGCAGGATAGGTCCTATGGACCTGGTATTTAGGGACAGAAGATAGTACTGCTGGATGAGGCACTGGAGCAAACTCTAGGAAGAGGCGGGAGCCTGGAAAGTCTCACTTGCGTAGGCGGGAGCCGGGTAGGAAATGGAGCCAGCAGTGCTCCAAGCGGAGAAATGATGTCTCAGGCTGCGAGTGAGGTTCAGGGTCTCTCCCCATCTCTCCTCCACTGTTCTCTCACCCCAGCCTGCTCTCAAGGTGTGGATCCCTTTTACCCACCCTGCTTCCACTCCTGAGGTAGAGGACTGCGACCCCCATCACCGTGCTGCATCCCAGCTCCCCGTACCCTCCTGGTACCCTCCTGGGGTTGCTTCTGCTCCTTTCTGCACAAAGACAAGAGACATGTCTTCCTGCAGCCCCTGGACCCTAGACAGCTGCTGGGTGTCAGATCCTTGTGGCTCCTGCTGTGCCGAGAGATAGGGAGTGGAAGGTCAAGCAGGTGAAAAAGGAGGCAAGACAGGGATGAAGAGCCAAACTTGCTGCTCCCGCTGCTGTGGAGGTATGAGGAAGATGAGGGTGGCAACTGCTGCTGCGTGTGAGTGCACCCTCTAACTCTGCTTCATACGCAAAGAGAAGCAGTTTTGCCAGCCTGAGCAGTCTCCTGCCGTGGTTTGCCTCTTCCACGGCTGAGCTGGAAGTCAGTTACTCGCATAGCTGTGCCTCTTTCTTTGCTTCCAGCTTGCAGCAGGAACAGCTGAAGAACTGACTCTTTGTTCACATACGTGGGATTTGTTTTTTTTAATATTTATTGCATTATGACTTTTTTCTACTATGACATATTTGGAAATAGCTGGCAAGGTTTCCTAATTAAATCTGCATTTGTATTATTAGTGGATGTTCCAGTGAAGAAAGAGAAATATTTATACGGTGTGTTCTGATTTGCTGTGACGAAAACCAAATTTTTAAGCCTAATAACAAATTGCTGTTATGGCAAACTGGAAGTTACACCTGTGAATCACGATGCTAAAATCTCATGCCCATCGTCCTCCCCTGAGACTGGGGAAGGGACAGTCTGTCAGAGGACTACTGCTGAATATGTGCCCCTTTTTGTTTCATGTACAGTGCTCTGCTAACTGCAGTGGCGGTTTCAAGACCAGAGATGTTCACTGCGTGGATGTTCGTGAGAAGCGAGTTCTCAGGCCTTTTCATTGCCAGTTACTTGGATATAAACCACAGCTCAGCACTATCTGTAATGTGGAGCCTTGCTTGCAGTGGCAAGTGGAGCCCTGGAAAGAGGTATTGTCCTTTAAAAGAAGCTTTTGGAATGAGCTATTAGCTGTCGAATAGCAGTGACTGTTATGTCTTTTACTGTCCCTCAAAGGAAGACGCACAGCTATTACTAATCGTAGGCTCTGCAATCCGTCTGTGTGGTTAGAGCAAAATTTACTATAGATAAAGACCTGCCAGGATTATTCCTAGGATTGCATGTGATATACAGCCAGGGCTGTAAATGACCATACCCTGAAGCAGAGTAGCAAAAGGCCTCGAGTATTAAGTGAATTTGTCCGAGTTATCCTACTGGCTCAGTAAATGAGATTTGTTCAGACCGTACCCTTTTGCTGCCAGTTTTTACATTACTTTCTTCTTATGACCCGTTTAGAATTTTCCTCTACATTTTTTGGCTGGAATTTCATGGGGCCAGAGAATGAGATCAGACATAAGATAAACCTGATTTGTGGGTCACTTTGGATACAAATCTGGACCGGCAAACTTTCATCGGCATCCAGGCCCATATTTGTTTCAGCTAGAGTACGTGGTATGATGATTACCTTTTAATGTTTGATCACACTAAGAGGAGGTCTGGAAAAGGTGCCACGCCACTTGCTGCATTGTGGACCTGATGCTTATAGATTTCAATGGAAGGTGATGGCATTGCTTCCTTACAGGCCCCTGACAAATCACACTTAAGAAACAGGAGACCTCATCCTGAGCGCGGGATGCAAGTTTGCTGCCAGATCAGTCAGTGAAAGTTGAATAATAAAAGACTGGCCAAATGATTCCACTATTTGGTCTTTTGCCACTTAAAATATCTTCTAAAAGCTCCTGGCCGTCCTTGGCAGTTGTCCTCGTGTTGAGGATATTGGATACAATTGGATCGAAAAGGAGTGTTTATCAGACAGCAGCTCTGATCCTGTGTCTGTCCATAGGGTTGCAATTCCGTGTAGGACAGGAGCAGTGCGTTACCCAGAGTATATCTGGCCCTTACTGCATACGAGTGTACCAAACCTTTTGTGTATTTCAAGCAGGCTGTTCTGCAGACCTAGTGAATAATAGTATTCAGTTGAGCAATAATAATAAAATAGGGACAAAAGAATGCTTAAAAAGAATCTAGGTCACTGTCTTTGTGTGATGCTTTTTTGCCATACTGTGGATAATGTATTGGATGCATTGAGTGAATATTAATGTCCCCAACTGTCTCATAAAGAATGAGATGTTGCATCTCATGAACTTGTACTGTCTTCCATAAATATTGCAGATTGAACTTGCAGACATGTGACCTGCATACTCATTTTTGTTGGAGAAGTCATTGCTGCCAGTGGTGTTGCATCGGCTGCCGTTGCCAATTCTGTGCTGTCCCATATTATTTTCATTAACAGAAGTCAGGAACAGTTTTCTCCATAGTATTTTGTACTTAAGACAGCCTCTTTCTTGTCTTTATCCAAGCAAACGATGGAAAAATGTGTCAGTGCAGGGCTTATCCTCACATCTGGGCTGTTAGACCTGGTGTGCAAGCTAGCCTGTACAGCTTCTAAATCACATGAATGAGTGGCATGCTTCTTTTGACCTGTGGTTCCACATTTCTAAATGAAGAGCATTTCCTGCCGTCTTTACTGTCTGCTTCTGGGTTGTGTCGCTCATTCCAACCTGCCTCCCTTGGGTTTGTGCTCCTCCTTTGTTAGTGTTCGAGAACTTGGGGTGGTGGCCAGCAAAAGTGACACATCGACTGCCCAGAAGGTGGCTGCTGTGACTGGACAGAAGACCTAATGCCACTGCGTCGTGCAGCACACAACCTTGTACACAGTGGATTAACCAGGTGTGGGGCTCTGTAGGATCCAGTTTTTTGGGGTGTTTTGGAGTTTTTTTGTTTTTTTTAATGAGCTGAAAACAAACCAGCACTGATCGGAATAACCACCCGTTGGCGTTCAGCTAGCATATCTGCAGGTCTCAAAAGCTGTGGAGAGCTAAATCCGTTGTTATATTACATCATGAATTGGCCGTATTTGATCATATTTAAATTGTTGCTGTTATTTAAAGAGTAAAGGACAAGTCAAAGTGAGGAGGGATCAGTCAGACAGTTAATTACCCATTTGTTTGTGAGCTTCAGTGCCTCTGGTAAGTTTAGTTTCTAGTGCACAACTGGAGCTGTGCTGGGATATGCTTTAAAAATATTAGCCAAACATTTCAGAGACAGCCCGTCTCAGTTCCTTCAGGTGGTAGACATTATAGCTTTTTAGTTGCTGCATTATATAGTATTATATAGTATAGTACTGGAGGGAGAGTTGGGTTATTTTACTCTTTTAATGCAAAAGGAGAAATTGCCGTTGACATTCTTTCCTTATTCGTTTGAAATTTTCCACTGAAGCAGGCTACCTGGATAGTAAATTCAGCCATGTGCTGTTAGATATGGAGCCAGGTAACGTTTCAAGAGGATAACAGGACAAAGCATCTTTAGAGAGAGAGGGAAAATGCCTAAATTTTTAAGGGCAAACCTGGCTGAGTCGCTCCAAGTACAATCAGGCTTTTTGATTTCTGTGTGCTTTCAGAGCATCTCCAAACAGTCGAACATTTTACTCTTCCAGACTTTTTTTTTTTCAGTAACTCCAAAAGAAACTTTGTGGAGTTGTCCACACAACCAGACATCCTGAGTTTTGACCAGCAGCCCTCTACCTTGGCTTCTGGAAATCTAACTGAAAAATATGGGAAGTGCGTGTGGGAAACCTTCTAGTATCTGCAATACATCTTCAACTGTAAAGAAAATGGTGTATCTAATAAATATTTACTTCACAAAGAAGTAAATAGCATAGAGTCGTTTAGCCTGGAAAATTTGAGTTGTTTTTGACAGAAAGACATTAGGTGGAATATCAGTATAGTGTAAAGGATTAAACTCTAATATTTGACTATGAAAGCGAAAATGTTGGGAAATGGATAAAATAAGCAACTGAATACCCAAATGTATAGCTACTATTTTACTGATTGATTAGTCTCATTTATTTTATAAAAAACATATTTTAAACATTAATCTGAAGTTGCAGCAATAAAACCTAAGATCTTAGCTATACATACTCCATGCCAATAACATTATGCCTAATGCACAGAGGCACACACTAGAGAAAGGATGATATGAGGAAAAAATAAAGAGGTACCAATCCTGTCTTTCCTTGCACTTCATTAGCTGATATTCTATGTTTGTTTGTTTCTCTCGCTGGCTACTACTATGTATTTGAAGAAAACGAGAATGTGAAATTCACTGGAATTCTCCTAAACTCTGTGATGTATGAGGAATTAAGTAAATTTTCAAAACAGTAAAGAATCTTGTTGTGAAAATATTCTCTTTGTGGCCATCTGTGTGTAGCCAGAACAAGCAGCTGGCAGTTGTTTCTCTGTCATAAGGAAAGGATAACTGCAGTGTAAATATCACCAAAGAAAAAACATCATCTCACTGAGCCTTTTTAAAATATGTTTAATACAGACAGTGAAAAAATGCAGGGAACAAAAAATGCCTGCTTGGAATACTGATCTGGAGAATTGCTCTCTTACTTGGTAGGGTTTGCATTTCAGATCCGCCTTCTCCTCTGGAGAAAGCAGTTCTCCCACCCTGGCTACACATGCCAAGATGCTGTGTTTATACCGTTTACCTCTCCGCTTTATTTGCCCAAGCCTGGCCACGATACGCCGTGGAGGTGTCTGGCCGAGAAAGCAGCGCACACAGTAGTTTCGTGTCTTTGGTTGTGCGTCATGTGGCATTGCTTTACAGCTCAAAAGTTGGCGTATTAAACAATTCCAGTTGAAATGGTTTTTATATATGTTAAAATGACTCTCTTTCAGTGCAGTGTTTCTTGTGGAGGAGGCGTTCAGCAAAGAACAGTGAAGTGTGTGAATACGGAAAGCAATGAAACTGAGGATCACAGTATGTGCGCGGATAAGCCCAAGCCAGTGGAGTATCAGAAATGCAATCCACAGGACTGTGGGAAAAGTACAGGTATGATGATCCACCTGGGGCAGGCAGTTTCCAAAGAGCTCGTTGTTTGCGCTGAGGGCCTGCACTGGTGCTGACCTAGTCTGTCAGCTTACTGGGAATGCTACAGGCTCAGAAATTACAGGTTAGCCTAACCCGCTGCAGCTCAGCTCTGCTATTGGCAGGGTCATGTTGCCATGTTCTCCCTCCCCATCAGCGTTGCGTTGTCATGATGGAGAATACAGTTCTCTGAACCTAAATTTCTGATGCTGCAACTAAATGGATGTTTCTATTTGTTAGAACATGTTAGGTAACATATTTGGTAGACATATTAGGTAACTCACAGGCTGCTTTAAGCTGTAAAGAAAGGGTGGCAAAACGGCATGCTGTAAGCTTGGAAACTCATTTATTGGCAGGGCAGAGTGGCTATGCTTGTATGCAGCTGTGTCCTTGAAGCTATAAGTGCTCAAGTCAGCAGACTGCTTGATTTGGCAGAGGCAATGGAGGGCCCAAAGTGTGTCTGCAAATATTGCTGTTAGAAGGCAGTGGCAAGTTATCTCAGAGGCTGTTTTTCCCTTGGAAGAGGGGAGGCAACTGTTTGGAAGCAGAAACCCAGTAACCATGGAATAGGACTGTGCAGTGATGGAGGCTAAGTCCAAACAGATGCTGTTTCTTAAGACAGATCCCCCTCTAGTAACTACGTATTCTGAACTGAGAGCACAAGCAAGCAAAGTGGGAAATACACTGTAAGAAAAAATGTGGCTAGCAGTGAACCCAGATACAGTCTGTGTCACGGCACTATGAATTCAAGTGTCCTACAGAGTGAGACTGTCCCCAAAATGAAGAGGTGGAGTAAAGAAAGCTCCTCTTACGACCCTGGGTGTCCTGCTACTCTTTCCTTTAAGGAACGAGGGGTGCAGTTGTATAGATGGTAATTTTCCAGAGAAGGAGAAAAAGTTTGTACATGAATATCTTTATCCCTGTTCATGATGGCTATAAAGTAGAGTAAAACCTGAAGCTCTGCTATCCGTGTAGTGCAGTATCCAACCCAGGTACCTATGGTAAGCACAACACCAGCTCAGAGACTTTCTGGAAGAGCCTTCAAAGGCCTTTTGGAGGAGGATTCTTCCCTCCTAGCAGGTCAGCAGTGTGGGTGCAGTAGGGTGATAAGACGGGAGGTTGACTCCTGAGAGCAGCGCAGATCTGGCATACGCTTGAGAGTGCTATGAGTCACCTGACCTGCTGTTCAAAGATCTTTAGCACATGTTTTGCCCTACAGTTGAATTGCTGTGTTTATCTCCTGTCCATCTCATGCTCAGGACAACACACACTCAGATAAATAGCACCTACACGGATTTGTTAATAGCTGCTTCTGTGAATAAAAAGCTCAAGAGGCTAGTAAAACATAAGAAACGTCCACTGGGCAGACCAGTGGTCCATGCAGCCCAGTATTCTGTCTCTAGCAATGGCGTTAGGAGATGCTGCTTAGGGAGGACGCAGGAGCCTAGTCACTTTCTGTGATTGATTTCCCTTGTGTTCCTCCAGCATCCCCAACTGTCGGAATAGGGCTGTTAGAGGCACCCCAGCCCAGTTCTTTCAGTTTACATTTATGGAACTTTTTATGTGAATTTGTTGCATGTGACTCTTTTTGACCCTGCAATTCTTCTGCTTCCATCACCTCCTCTGGCTGCAAGTTCCAGAAGTTCACAGCCTGCTGTGTGAAGTGTTTTTATCTATTTTAAACCACCTTTCTCCTAGTTTCATTAAATTTCCGTATTTCTATTGTGGAGGGATTTGCTGAACAACGGCCCTGCATTCAGCTCACCCGTCACCTTCCTGCTTTTGCAAACCTCGATCATGTCCCTTCTCAGCTACCTCTTCTGCCAGCTGAGGACCCCTGATATTTTTATGCCTGACTAAATCTGATGCACCTCACTTTCATAAAGCTACTACAGACCTATCAGCACCATAATACAGACATTACTGGTCCCTGGCCTGTTCTGGTGCTGCAGTGAAGTGGAGTCAAGCTCAACACGTAGTTGCTCATGCCGTTTATGCCCTCCCTGCTTGCCCTGCGGTGCTCTGCAGCCCACAGGCAGCCCCCGTGGGCTTATCTCCAGTGCACGGGTACGAGAATGGCAGAGTACCAGACACACAGATCATTGTTACTGGAATCCTTCTGGCAGTTCTTAAAAGCAGAAACATTAAAGTGAAAAAGGCAGATCAGCTACATCTGCTGCAAAAGTAAACCCTCGCTGAACAATAATAAAAAGTGCTGTATTTTCCAAGGCAGAAGGTCATGTGAAGTTTAATAGGATCTTTTCACTTAGGAGTGCCAAAACTTCAGGAGGCTCAAGCTGAAAACTAATGCAAAGGAAGGGAAAGCCATCACAAAGATGAGCCTTAGCAGACGTGACTGTCCAGAATAAAGCAGTTGAAGATTCTAGAAATACACTAGAAATGCACTTTTCTGCAAAATACAGCTAATTCTTCTCATCTTCTCCGCCATAGGCCTATCCTGCAGCAAAGACCAGCTGTCGGTTCATTTCTGCCAGAGGCTGAAAAGCATTGGCAAATGTTTGGTGCCGTCAATACAGACTCAGTGCTGCTCTACATGTAGCCATCCCCGAATTCATAACAAAGCAAGACGCTGGAGTCAGCGAGGCCTCAAACAACAGAATTACTCTAAATCTAGAAGAAAATCGCCTCAAAGCCAAGAAACTAACAACCAACCTGTCCAGCACTAGCTGTTTTTTATCTAGTTAATTTAAACGGGGCTTCTGTTTACAAGTTTTAGGTTTCTTTTTCTTTCGAACCATCCAATGCCTGTGATCCAAACACATCCCTTAGGGTTATCAATCCTAATTTACTCCTCCAAATTTTTCCTTTAATGCTCCAGAATTTGTAACATAATTTGCAATGTACCAGCAGTTAGTACTTCTTAGGCATGCATAGAGGCTAGAGACAAGCTTGCAAGAATTGTTGTTTCTAAATGAATGTGTAATTTGTGCTTTCTTCCATCTCTTATCTGAAACCTCCTTGAAACGGCAGCATTGTGTACCGAAGAGCACTCAGCGAAGGTGGCCGGCTGAGCGGGCCCAGGGCTGCCCAGTGTGTTCTGCACTCTGGGCCGGGTCCCTATGGGCTCGCTCACTTTTTTTTTTTTTTTTTTTAAAAGGAATCAAGGTGAAGTGGCAGTGTTTCTTCTCTAAACTGTTTGCTCACTTCCATCCTCATAATCTGAATTTACAAGTGGAATTTTATGACTGATCGTGAATATGTAGGCCAAATTTAAACATTGCGTTTCTTAAAAGGAAAATTTTTCCCTTAATGCTTGACTGAACCTCTAAAGGATACCTCAGAAATATCCTGTCCTGACCAGTTTTCTCCTGCTGTAAATGTCTTACTCCAGTTTAAAAGCCCCACCAAATCTGGAACGTTAAGTTCCAAATACATTTTAAGTGGTCGTGAAGCAGCATGTCATGGTACCATAAAAGCAAAGCTGTTTGCATCTACCCCATTACCGCATGGGTTGTAATTCACACTGATATTCCATGATGGCGCTATTATTTAATCCAGTATCTGCTAGTAGAGCATAAGGTCACATCTACAGCCTTACTCAACTGCTTCACTCCCAGCAAACTTTTCCCCCAGTGCAAATGTTTGACCTCAATGAGGGTGAGGGCACCTCGGATAGGATTTTGAGACCTGGAGCATCTCTATAGCTCTGGGCCTCAATCATTAGGAGAATATTAGCCAGAGAGTAGATCTGTTTTGCTATTGAAGAAAATAGCAGAATAACCTTTAGGGAGACCAGAATGGACCTTCTGAAGTGTAGCTGGGCATTTCAAAAGAGCTGGACTGAGTCTGACATTTAGATTCCATTGAAATTCAATAGGAGTTGGACACATCAGTCCTTTGTGCTCTTTTGAAAATCTCCGATTTACTCCCTAGCTGCCTGGCAATTTGAGGTTGTAATACAGGGAAATGACACATTTTATGCAATGTAGAATGAAGCACATAGCCATGAATGTAAGTGTCGCTATGGATACAGAGCTATGATTAGCAATAGTTCTATTTCTAAACAGACCTTTATGAAAGTTAATAGAAATGTTTAGGTCTGGCTATAATGTATTAATCTAGTGGAGGCCACAAGTCTAACTGTCCTTTTTCATAAGACAGGTTTGAGACCTTTGGCTAAGGGTTCACTTCTTCACTTGAAGTCTCTGGGAGTTGGGGATATGCAATATGGTAAGGTTAGACTTATTAACCTCTGGAATGGCAATGTAACCTCAGTTATAGGTGCTGATAAAACTTAAAATCCACTGCTAAAAATATGGTGCTAGTATAATAGACATGGAGGGTGACTTACAGTGGTGCGTGTGCATGCATGTGTGCGTACATAGCCTATATGCACATAGAACATAATACATATCTATGGTGTTGCTGGCCAATGCCAGACATACTACTTCTTAAGTATTACAGTATGTTTTTGTCCTTCTGAAGCCCTGAATGGTTAGTAACCCTCTGAGCAATAGAAACCAGGCCAGTTCTTACTCCGCTGGCCGTAGCAATATTGAATTAGTTATGGGGTGGAGGCGTCCCATCTGCGATTCAGGAAGCATCTGGCCATGGTTTGGCTTCAGGCTCCAATGTGTTGAGCAGAGCCTGAACAGCTAAGACTGAAGCTGTTCTCTGGTGGCCAAATGACCTAAGCTGGTGGACAGTGCAAATGCAGCTGATGTGCCCAGAGGTGTCTCTTAGGATTTGGGCAGGACAGTGTTAGATTCACTTTGGAGTGAGCATCTTCTGTGCTCAGAGGGCCCTGCAACATTTATCCACAGAGAACAATAAAAGTGGGCCATCAGGCATGTAGGTTAATGAGGAAGGAGTTGACTGAGTGAATTTAGTGCAGGTGGAAGGAAAAGTGCCTTGGAGGGGCAGGGGGGGGGTTCCTTCCAGTGCTCCTTGTAGCTAGTGTGGAGTAAAACCATTTCTGGCTTCATTGTTTTCTTCAGGGAGCTGCGATTTCATTTGAAATTGAGAAAAGTGAATAAGTGATATCATGAACATTAATCAAAATGATCTTTCTACCCAGGGAAGTACAGTCATCACTGTTGCTCAGTTTAAAACTTTAGGGAAAAGACTGTGGCAATAGCAGGAACTGTTTTAACAAAGCGATGTCACTGCAGTATTTTACATAGGTTTTTACATTACACTCATCAGCCTAATTATCTCCTCTGTGCCAATATTAATTGCAGTCATGTCTCCCGTCCATTTAGCAAGATTCCCTTCCTTGACATTACTCTTCTCAAGTAAAGGTGGATGTATGATCCTAACCGAGATGGTCACTGTTCTCAGAAGTGAGTAGAGATTTAAGTCCAGCAGCATAATTTCATTGTATTATCGTATTAGCCTGAGACATATCAGCTTCTTCAGGTGTCTCAGGGAAAATGTTTATTTGGCACATTCACCGCTTCTTCTAGCATTTCAAATTTTAAAATGAAACTATGACGACTTCTTTGTTAAAGCTTCAATAAATGGCATTGCTTATGTCTGATGGTCTCTGGTATTTTATGTTTATGGTGCAAGAAGATTCGTAAGATGGATTAATGAGGAAAAAAAGCTCAGGAAGTATCCTTCTGTATTTTTGTCTAATTGTTCAAGGAGAAACCGTATCATTGAGGTATTTTAATGCTTGATATTCCAACACAAAAGGGATATTAAAAAGGGAGTGGGAAAATGTAGTGCAATAAAACTTGGTGCTGAGTAAAAATGCAAAGCATTGCTAAGCTTAGTTATTTCATATGAAATAGATGCTGTCTTACCACTTCCAGTCCAATTAGATGTGCCTTAGCTCTTTGGCACCAGGGGTATGTGTGCTTATTATGGAGAGTATTTGTTTTCCCAAACAGCTATATAAAATATTCTCTCCCTCCCTCCCCTGCTAAAAAAAAAACTGTTTTCAATATTCAGGTTTTACAGATACTCTTCCCTGCTCATGCTGCGCTGCCTAGCAGTTTAATCAGCTAACTCGGTTCCTTGACATGCAGCCTAGGGACACAAGCATCGCTGCTAGGCTGATCTGCTTGGGTGGAGAGGTGGAGAGCGTGATCGGTTTATACTCAGTTACTGAACTCCACGCACACATCCATGGATTCAGCCTCCTAACACCCTGTGCACACCAGGAATTTGCTCCTTCGTGTGGTCACAAATGACGTAGGGATGTCCAGCCCACAGGTGCGGCATCCTGGTCCAGGGAGAGGATTGAACTGAATGAAATGAGGAATGAGTTGAAGCTCTTCCATTTCGCATGAGTTCATTCAGCGTTTGCGGGCTGACATGCTGCATAACACACAACCTTACAAGCGGCTTCTGCTGTCTGTTTCAGTGCGTGGGGAGAAGAGGTAGTTTGGCTCACTGCGCTCCTTGGTCTGGCCAAGCATGCAGCACCCAGCAAAGGAGCTGCCTTTTGGCTGCCTAGCCTGTAATGAAACCAGCATGCAGGAAGAACATTGTGTTTATGGCTCTGGTGAATCCCTCTATGATATTAATAGCAATAAGGTCCCAGGAGCGTGAGTAGATTTGGGCAATCAGTTACCCATTTTTCCCCATGACCTCTGTAGAAAAGTAGTTGTCAGTAGGTGCTGTACTGGTAACTGGTGTTTTCTGAAAATACATCCGAAGTGCTTGGTATTGCCTGGACTAAACTAGAATTAGGTGTACCCAGCAAGAGAGGTAGGCATGAAAGGATAGCTACAGCAGGAATTTATTTGCATTTCATAAGTAATTGCCGACCGATCATCTGCTAATTGTTACATATGCAGTCTCCATCTGTCCATTGGATCAGCTGTTTTAGGACTCTCTGAGATTTGAGGGCACAGCTCAGGAAGACCCTAACTCTCACACATAGTGACACAACTCTACATCATACGTGCCTTGAAATGTCAGGTATCTGACTCACCACACACTGGCAGCAGGCTGTGGGGCCTCTTCCTTCTCTAAGCCTTTTCTAAGGCTGCTGACTGCAGGGGTGACTGTGGTTTGCAGCACCTAGCGACTCTTTACACCTACCAGTCCAGCAGCCTTGCTTTCACCTAACTCTGGGTAAGCCAAGGGCCAGATGAGCGTCCTTACCATCAAACTGTGGGGAAAAGAATAATTTTTTTCAGTTACGTTTCACATAGGATCTGATCTAGAGTATTGTAATGCTAGCGGACCAGAAAGGGGAACATGTAGCTGTAAATCTTATTAGTCCCTAAATGTGAAAATAGTTACCTTGGGTTATCAAGGCATAAGCACAACGAGACCTATTTGAAAAGAGATTTCTAGTGTGCAAGGTCTCTGCCGGCAGGAGCATACCTCCATGATGATAGGATGAAGTGAGAGAGAAGCAAGGATTTGAGGACTGACGTTCCAGACAGAAGAGCTTAAAGTAGCAGCTTTGGTGGATAAATTTTGTAGACACAGAAACGCAGTACGTTGTAAATAGCATCGTCAAACTGCTTGTGGATGTCAAGATGGAAAGGCTTCTACGTAAGCTCAAGTACAAGCAATCTCAGTCCTAGGTGTTTCAGAAACATGGTAGAAATGCTAGGTCCAGTTCCACAGGCAGCTGTACCTCTCTAACATCTCTCCAACATCTCTCCAACATGGAAGGAGCTCTCCGTCATGAAAAGACCTCTCTGCCCTCACCCCATGCCCACATGGACCATCCCACCCCTCCCTCTGGTGTCATTTTTGAGCTGATTCGGCTCACTAATCCAGCAGAAAAAGAACTGTTTTTTTGTGGCTTTGTTAGTTTTTTTGTTGTTCTACTGCTTTAACTTGGCCTGTGGAGAGATCAGAGGCTTCTCAGGTAAGTGAAGCAGCAAGTGGACATAGCCCAGAAAGGAACCTCCTCCTTTGGGGGAAAAGGAGCTGTGCAGCAGTGGCAACCTCTCCTGGTGCTGCCCGGCTCAGGGGATCCAGCGGTCTCCTAGGGAAAACCCAGGCTGCCCAGGCTCCTCTGCCAGCATCTGCCATTGCAGGGGTGTTCCTGATCCGCCAGGCACAGGGCAAGAGGGAGCTGAGCCCTGAAGCTGCAAAGAAACTGCCTTTCTGGAAAATCCTGCATTAAAAGGGAGCACAGAAGAAAAACTGCTTGGAGAAGCTTTGGCTGCAGGTAAGAAACTGCTATTCAATCCAAAGCTAGGACAAGGTTTAGAAGTATGGCGTTTGATAACGATGTTTTTTTAAAGTAAACATCTGTGTTGCTGCTCTGTTCTTGCGCTCTGTGTTTGATGGCCTGTAACACAATAGATTATAAAAGCAAGGAAAAGTACTGACAAAAGGGTAGGGATGTTTGATGCCTGTAATAAATCCTTAGCTGGAGCAGAAGAGCGACTCAGCGTTCACCAGCAATCACTAAGAGTTAGGGGCTGTAAAACTAAAACATGAAAGATAAATCTAAGCTGGTCAGTGACAGTGAATTGTTGGCATCTTCTGGCTCACAAAGCAAAACTGAACAGTGAGGAGAGATACCGGTGTCTAAACAAGCTATTAATTCAGCCTGATAACTATGCTAAAATAGAGTAGCAGTAGCATGCAAAGTCTAATAATGTCCTCTTTGGAAGTTGATGCTTGTACTGGAAGGTATACCTAAAACTGTAGAACTGTAGTATTTGCTAATTTAGCCTTTGGACTTAATCACAATAAAATTGCTGATGTACCTCTTTGAAAATCACTCTGGGCTTTGCTGGAAAAGGTGACAGCTGTGAATGGGATGTAATTTTCTTCCTTTCAGGGCCGTTGCACGCTCTTCAAAAACAAACGTACTCCTTGCCTCTAAGAAATAACCTTTTTATTTCTTACTCTTTTGTTGCCTTGTTATACGGCACATTAGCGTTGATGCGTAATATCACATACGGACTGTAGTTTGGAGTGCTTTGTAGAAGGGCATGTGGTACACAAACACCCATCCCGCAGCTGCTGATGGTGATGGGCAGGGCTTAAAAGCCCATTATCCCTCCTCTTCACCCCCTGACCCTACCCTTAAAAGTGAACCTGAGCACTGAAGTGCTTCTGAAAATCCCACTCAAGCAGTATAAAATTAATGTCAGGGTGACCAGACAAGTGACAGGCTGAATTCTGATGAACAGTGCAGAAAGTCTTAAGGAGTGACCGCAGTCCTAAAATGAATTAATGGGAGAGCCTACCACAAGGATTTTGGCAACAAAATGCTATTACATAGCTCACCCCAGGAAATAGGGAGATAACCATATATGGTCACAATACGAGGCTTTCCCATATGACTTTATGGCCTTTAGGAAGGATGTGACAATCGCATGCTCCCTGAAAGGACAACTCTCCGGGGCAACCAGTGAGCCATGGAGCCTGGAAGCAATTCCAGTGCATCAACAGGTCATGTAGCAGGGTGATGCAGATAGGGCATGGTTAATGTTAAATAAATGCAGGAAGCCCACTTAAGCCTTTCCTAAGGACTAAGACATGTTAATGTGCAAACGCAGTGCTGGATGTGCTGTTCCCTAGTTTGTTGAGCCCCGGTTGTGCAAGCTTCTGGGGGAGTTTCAGGCTGCTTTGCGGCACTGCTGGGTGTGGAGCCTGGAGCAGGAGGGGCTGCAGCACCATCCAGCCCCGTCCTCCTGTGCTCGAGCTCAGGAGTACACAGAGCCCTGAGTGCGTGTGAATTACGCTCAAGTGTTAGCAAGAGTCAGCTCTTACCATGCAGTAAAGGTGAAACAAATCCCAACTTCCCTCTTGTTTAGCTTGCCAACGAGAGCCAACATCAAGGTAGCAGTCCTTGAAGGCTCAATAAATGAAAGAGGGGGTGAACCTTGGATTTTAAACCCTTAGGGGTTGTCTTGGATTTGACTAAATACTCTCAGGTAGCAAAAGGAGAAGAGGGTCTGTGTGTGGAGGCTGAGGGAAGCTGAAAGCAAGAAAAGGCTTTCACTGCAAATGAGAGAGGAGTCCCAGGCCGACCAAGGCACTGGATGTGTGAGTATTTCAAGGCAGCTCATGGAATCCAGGTTTCCTTCAGCAATAATCCTTGAGATATGAACAGTTGCCTGGGGCTGCCTTCTCATCATGCCACATCTGTGCTTCTGCTTAGCAGGCCACTTTGGCAAAGGGCAGTGCTGTTTCCTGCAGTCTTGGTATTAGGGCAAATTCCCACAGGGCATGCTAGAATGATGGCAAAAGTGGCATTAATAGGAGGGAAGGAAAACCTACCAGAAGGAAAAGTCCAGAGTGATGGAAGTTGATTATTCTAATCAACTAGCATAGAGAGAATGCTTTATTGCAAACTCATGATGACTCTCTGTAAACTGGACCACCATGAATTTTCAGACTCCCCATAGAGTTATTTAACCAGGTGGCAGGCATGGAGGGACTATGTTTTCTGGCATCTGCTGTTTCATGCAATAGCTGAACTAATGAAGCTTGAGATTAAATTACCGCTTATCCACTGTGTTCACTTGGAACTGTATTATTTGGTTGC